GTGCTAACGCTGGGAAGAAAATGAAGAAGTACCATCGAGACTTCTCGCATAACTTAGCCCGAGAGGAACCGGTCAGGCCAATGAAGTTGAAACATATGGCCTTGGAAGAGCGTTTTAGGCACATCACGAACATAGCTGAGAGGCTGACTAATATGATGGGAAGTTGAAGATCTTTTCGACAAAGGTACCACTCTTAGAACAGACCTTTTAGAACAGACCGAGGCTGAGAAAAAGGAAGTGACGACCACCAGACGGACCGAAGAGACAAGCGCAAAGCAAAGCACCACGGTCAAACAAGCGACCAAGGCATGGTCAAAGTCGGATGGCTGGCACAACTCAGTAGGCGGGAAAGTCAACTTCGGCAGAGCGAGCTCCAACGTGACTCAGCAGCAACGAGAGTGATCAGCATCGCTGGGCGCCAAGCCGAAGACACAATCCAGTAGTAAGCCACACTCAAGTCAATCTACGGGCAACAATCCATCGATGGGTAAGAACGATGATAGCAGAGCTACGAAGGCGTCGTTGGGCATCAACGGCAAGCTGAAGAGTGAAAAGACATCAAAGACACAGCGCAAGAACAAAGCGGAAGAGCGTAAGAAGCAGGAAGATCTTGTGAATGCGATGGTGTACGGACCTTTGGTTGATGAAACGGTGAATGAAGGCGAGAAGGGACCGATCACTGACTCCGATGTCGACGAAACTCTGCCCGCCAAACTAGTGACAGCCGCAACGACAGCTAAAAGCCTAGCGGATGAGGCAGCTGAGGCACGTTCGAAGCACAAGGAGGCTAAAGAAAAAGCCGAGGAAGCCGCAGCTGGGTTTGTCGCGACAGCAGGAGCCGTCCATACGGCGGCAATCGTAAACGGTCTTCAGCAACAGGGGAAGGGAAATAACGAAGCGCTTGACTCGGAACAAGTGAAACAAATTTTGAGAGAGCAGGATGCACTACGCGAGCAGCTCAAGCAGCTAGATCTCAAGAGACAAGAGATGGCCGAGCAAACGGAAGCAGGTCGTAGGGCTCTCCAGATCGCAAAAGCAAAGGCACTCAAAACCCAGAAGGTGTTGGACAAGCTCCAGGCTGGGGGCCTCTAAGTATCAAACACCGAATAAAGACGACAGAAGCACTAAGCGTGAAACTCCGGTTGACGATTCGGGGTTGAGAGCACGAGAAGAAGTTATCAAGGAGGAGGCAGCAACAGCCTTCGCAGCGCAACGGCGTGAGATCGATGAGTATCTCGGGCAAGCGGACGCCAAGCCAACTGGGAGAGCTACCGATCAAACCTCAGAGAGCTCACAAGAAGGGGCTACAGGCGAAAACCATGGCGGAGACGACATGAGTGCAAGCAATGACGTCGTCATGGGTACTTCACTGCGACTGGACGATTTAGATGAGAAGACTCCACCGAGTTTGCCGATCACTAGGGATATCTTGAACGCGATAAACGGCTTTACTCTAGATGGACTCCATGAACAGGAGCCAAAGTTCTCGGACACTCTTCCGAAACCGATGGAAGAAACCTTGCGCGAAAAGCCAACTTGCTTGGAGCCGATACTGGAGTTAAAATCTGTGATGAAGGTAGCTCAAGCAAAGTGTGAAGAGGCCAAGAACATTCGACAAGGCCAGCGAGATCAAAACGACCACGAGAGGACGTTGGGTGCAACAAGATTTCGTAAAGCTAGCCTGGACCAGCCGAGCACGAACAAAAAAGCGGGACACGAGATACTGGACATCGAGAAATCGTCTCGGCGAGGAAGAACCGCAAGACCTCAATCTAGAACTTTTTCCCAACGCCAATAAGACAACAGCCAAGAACGATCATTTGCCCAGTTCTCAACCCGTGGTGATTGGCATTCTTATGAGAACCAAGCATCGAGTCTCTCAACAGATTGGCTCAACAGCACAGCCTGAACGTCATCGACGTTTCAGAAAACGGCAATTGCCTTTTTGGTGCTCTCTTCGCGGCAGTGAGCGGATTCTCGGGGCCCGGCAAAATAGAGTATTCGGATGACGTGGAAAAAGAAGCTCAAGTCTGGAAAGAACGTATTCTAGCGGTCTGTCAAGAATATGTGATGCTGGAAGCTAAGGGAGGAGCCATGCGTTTGCCCATCCTTCGACAGAGACTGAAGGAGCTCTATCCCTTCGAAGAGTGGGTTACGTCGGAAGCTCCTACTCAAATCATGAATCGACTGATTCGGCATTTTGCTGAATCGGGAGATATTCAAGTTCGAGACTTGTCTCCATACGTATTCTGGGGGCGAGCAGCCGAGCTGCATGCTGCGGCAGGTCTACTACGAGAACCAATTTACGTCATTGAAACCGACGACACAGGACATATTCGGGCCCGGCGATATTGTTATCAGAACAAGACCGGTATTGACGGAATCTCCAGTGAAATGGGGTGCGACTTCAACATGACGATTCATGAGCGCAACAAGTTCGTGCAAACAGCGCAATAACATAGGGTGTTGCCAACTATGCTCCGTTACAGAAGGCGAGGAACGGTGGAGACCATTTCCAAGCACTCAAATTCGAGGATCACCTCTACCAAGACTTCTTAGAAACAATGAACGTACACCCAAACATACGCAAGCGACTGGATGACGTCCAGAGAATCCTGAATATTCAGCCAGTCGACGCTGTTCCTCAATAGAAATTCGATTTACAGGAGGACGAGGAGAGGCACGAAGCTGCACAACAACTAATGTCAACATCTCAGGATGGAA